ATAAATTTACCGACGTGTATTGTCAAATGACGTCAGTCTCAGGATGCCAAGGTGGTGGTTGGACAATGGCGATGAAGATTAACGGACGCTCGGTAAGCCTTCGTGCAGATTTAAAGACCATGATTGATGTAAAGTCCGTTCTGCGCAGGCTTACATTCCAATGGTCAGGACCCGACCGTTGGAATGTTATTAATATTTCGTATCTTTTGAACTTTCTTGAATTGAATCTCTAGTCTGTATTCATTGACAAGCATAGAGAACCAGAAGAGTGTTAAAAATTCAGTATAATATATATCTAATCATATTTTACAACAGTAGCATTGACTTCAAAATGTAAATATAGCGTTTGTTTACATTACGGACTTTACATGGTCTTTAATGATTTAATGTCTCAGTTAATTAAGTTAGAATTGGGTTTGGGTGAGCATCAATTAATTATAAGGTCAGGTTTAGGTAGGATTAGGATCACATTTAGGATTAATGTAATGTGAGATGAAGGATTAAAGTCAGATTTAGGGTGATTTTAACGCATTTGTTTTTATAGAGTACTTTCAAATACAGTTCCTCTTATTGGACGAACAAAAACACTCACAATGACGATGCCTATGGACGAAACGGCGGTTTAGACAACCGAGAATATAAAGAATCGTCTTACTGGAGAACCTCATTTAAAGAAATATGTGTTGGTATGAAATATGGTGGTCGTTTAAGAGCCTTCTCTTTCTCGTACAAGGCATCATCGCTGTATAATCTGATCGCAGACGGAAACCATCGACACATTCACGTTGGTCGCGCGCAGTGGAAATCATTGATCAGTGGATCATCCTTACAGCGTAACTGCAACCGAGAGGGATTTAACTTGCGAGGTGATTCAACGCTGTCTAAATTTAAAGTAACTGTAAAAGTTCGGTTGGGCATTATTGCAAACCAGCAAAATGATTGCAGTACGCCCGACTCTTACGTTGGCCTGGGAGCTGAAGGTGGTTGGAATTATCCCGTCGATTCAAACTGGTGTCAGCCGCCAGACAAATCTCTCAACTCGGCGGGTAATCTTGCCCAGTGTAGTCCAGACAACGGAAACAAGAATACCAAAGCCATGGCATATATACTGGTTCGTTAAATAAATAACTCGGTGTCGGTCCGATTTATACCAGAGATGTATACTGATGCGTCGAAACCCATCTGTCTAACGAATCACACATCTTAAGGCCCATTTTGACCCAAGAAAAATTTCCACGGCCAGAAAATTTTCAAAAAATATCATTGTTTAATCACAATATGGCTAATTAGTATAGTAAAGGAACTAGATTAAATTTTCAATGTTAGGGGACTATATAATCACATAGTGGTAATAGCACGATATTAACTTTACTTTAAGTTGATGATTATCATATATCATGGCTTTATTTTAATCAACATTTTTCAATTATCAGAACTAGTTACATGGTTAAAAACTTCGCATTGCGAAATGCAATCAAGGGTTGCTACTTTATGTAATCTAAACTGAAGTGTAGGAACATGTAATCCAAATTATGTAATCTTAATTAATTAAACCAATTTGTCGATCAACTAGTGTGCTGAAATTATTTAAATTAATTCATGTTTATCTCATTACTGTGGTCGATAGTCAAGCTTCATGCAAATATCGAACTCACTGAAACAAGAAAGATTATATCAATGCTTTCAGAGGCCGCGGAAGCATTTCGAAAGGAGGGGGGGGGGGAACATGCCCCCATTGCCCCCCCCCCCAGCATGCATGCCACCAGGGTACTCCCCTGTTCCGCGGCCCCTGAATGCTTTTAAATGGCGTTATAGTCATCTATAGATATATAAAAATATATATCGAAACTCTATTAGGCAAAAAACCTGGGTTTCTGGTTTCCCGACTCTATACCTACAATCGCGTGCAAAAATAATGAGACTTTTCACATTTTTGGCCATTTTAAAGTACGTCGGCCTCCCCCTGCCCCCATGATCAATGTTGGAAAAAGTGGGTTGAATTTTCTGTTTTCAGTCATCCACACAACATTGAATTGGGGGTGAGGGGGGCATTTATGCGGTTGTCTCAATAATTTTTGCTCCTGATTGTAGCCTATGCATGGCTACTGAAATCACAGACCCTAATCTCTTTATCTGAAGTTTGCAAAGAGTTTGGCACAATTTTTCGTAATAAAGTATAACCTGTTTGTTTCAAAGTTGATGTAACATTTAACAAATGTTCGTGATTGACGTAGCATATCATTCTCATGCATGAGCATTTATTAAATAAAATTACATAAAAAGACCTATACCCTATACCTTAGTTTTTGTCACAAGAAATAAAAACGGTAATCACGACCATTAGAATAAATGGAAAACAGTCTTAAACGAGCCATGATGCAGTGATGCATGTATCTATAACATTGCTTTTTTGTTTAGTCGTTCTTGGAAAAAAGGGGGAGAAAAAATTATTGATTTAATAATGGCTTACTTGGAAATACTTGAATTGATGTGGGCATGCAGCAGTTGAATTTAACAGTCTTGGTTTAATTTTTTTTAAAAACTATATATATATTTTAAAAATTCATTAATAATTCACGAGGAAAATACCAAAGAAATGAATGTTTAATCAATGTTTGCAAATATCCGATTTGCCCTGATTTACATAAACTTCAGCTTTGATTTTCTCGGCTTAGACAATGTTTGCGCTCTACCAAACAAATGTAAATAACGGATGCGTTTTAGCCAGGAAGCTAATTTAGGTCTAATGCTAAATTTTCCCTGTATTCCTTTTACATTAAACACGAAATTCACTAACAAATACATTATGTTTTTATAATACTACTGAAGAGTGACAAAAATACTTTATGGTTGAAAGGAAAGTAAAATAATGAATGTTTTGATGTTTTTCTTCCTTATCTCTATGCATGATCATGTTGATACGAATAAACTTCCTTCAGCAACAAAAATTAAACAGCTATTGTAATACAAAAATTTCGTCATTTGAGGTAAGTCCTAGCAAGAGAGAGCAACTTTTTACAACAGCAGCGTAAATAAAAATGAGAGTGTTGCCAGTAGTTCTAACTTTGACTCTTGTTACAACGCTTAGTGCAGTAAGTATACATAAGTAATTTGTTTGTGAACTAATTGTAGTCTACTACTTAATTGTAAATAAATGAAATACATTTTTATCCATAGAGCTACTAATTTTTAGTCTAGGTAGGCAAGTCTTCTGTATGTTTGATGTGTGACTTAATATAGACGCACTCATGACAAAATGAGAGAGAATATTAAATTTACACAAATTTTACGCGCCATTAATTGGGTGTTTTAATGTTTGGGATAAACACGCAGTAAATCGAGTTACATTTTCGTGACTCTATTAATTTTGACACGGCTGAAACAGATTCTATATCCTGCATTCCTGCTATCGTTGTTCACTCCCTTCAATAATATTCCGTACGTTGTCTGCAGAATTATTTAATCGACGACCCTGACTGGACCTCTAGAGAAAACAATGTGGAACTGATACTGTTATTCAGTATCACTAAATGTATGGCAGAGCTGTCTAAATCTCAATTTAAACACATCAGGTAAATCCATACGATCCTGGCATTTGCACAAAAAAGAAGAGAGGAAAATTTATGGTTGTCAAAGATTATGGTGATGACGATAAAATCGTGGTTTGTGTTGAACATCACGGAAAATATAAATGGGATATGATCAATGGTATTTATGTACAAGTAACTTATTAAATTAAATATTTAAATAACATTGCTTAAAAGGTGACTGTGTGGCTTTCTCTACCTGTCTTGGCTTGCCACCCTGGGGAGGGGGGAGTACACCCCACAACTTGAATATTTTGCCACGAGTATAAATTTCTTACTCTTACTATTATGATAATAAAAAATAATTCGAACTTTTGTAACAAATTAGACTAATTGTTGCCCTTGATCATGTTATTGCTCAGGTTATTCGTATGGCAACTATTTTGATCCAGCAAAAGATTGTTCAGATGTTGTTGATAATGTTCCAAAAGCTAAGAGTGGAGTTTACTGGATTCAAACAGTAAAGGGCCCGGTCAAAGTAAGTCAAAAATAATGTGTGATTTATAATCAGAACTTTGTTGCAGATCCTATACATCTTTGCCTAAAAATTCTGCATTTTCAACTATCTACACCTCAAAGTTCTTATCTCGCCAGATTCAATCTCAAAGCGAATTCGTACGCAAATATAACGGCGTTCTCCCAGTAATTGCAATCCTAGGATGATTCGTGCACATGACCTTCACTTTCAGGTTTTTATATTTGCAACCGTGGCCCAATTATCATTTGATTTAGGCCTGGTGTGATGTTGATACATCTAGTGGGGGATTCTTGTTGATTGGTGTCAAAGATACACCTGAAACCTGGGCTATCCCTTCCAATTCCTCCCTTGTTCACCCTCACGGTCTGGCGAGGTGGTCGAGTGCATTTGGTGAGAAGAATGTGTTAGATTTTCGTGTACAGATTTCAACGAGTAAAGATTTTCATGATACCCGAGCACACTGGTATGTGACATGTTGTTGTTTATTGTTGTTGTTGTTGTTGTTGCTGCTGCTGTTGTTGTTGCTGTTGCCGCTGTTGTTATTGTTGTTGTTGTTGTTGTCGCTGTTTTGATTGTTGTTATCTTGAATCAAACACAGCGTAATTACTCCACTAAAGGTATTATCGTTTCAAATCCCCGCGCATTCTTTCAAAATTACTGATGTCCGATGAAGGAGGATGCAGTCATCGATACCCAGGGATTGGGAACATTGCCTACGTTAAAGATCTTATGACTGGAAAGATGGCAACAACGACGTTTAATTGTTCGCGATTTGGAGCTTCAATTGCACCTGGACTGGGATGGGTATGTCACCCTATATATCCTACTTTTAATAGCTTTGATCCACAAGATTTTAATTTATGTACCTTGCAGAGTACTTCATCTTCCATCATTCTTATTCAATCAGGAGAAAATGAACAGATGTTTCAAAGAATCATGCCCAATTGGTTTTGCATATCTTCCTGGTTATCATATCGACACATCAGGCTCGTACAGGTAATTATTATGTTATGGTTTGAATTAGAAAATACAAACATTTTCACATACCGTCATGCTGTTTTCCTTCATGTAGCTACAGTGTCATGTCGGCACGTTCAGGCATACAGGACAGTCAAACATCATTCGTTGGATGTGATCATGGAAAGGTAAAGTACATCTAAAATATAAACGAGGAAACATTTGATTTGGGCGACAGAATTGTATTGGATATTGGCAAACGTTTGGTCCCTTGATCATATGATTAAAAGTGATTCAATCGGCTAAATTCAGTGGTAAATTATCAACCTTAATAATTTCAATTTGCGAGCAAGACAAAATTTCATCATTAGTCTCAGTTTTTAAACGTTTTATATCAAATACAACATTGCATTCAGTCAGTTTATTTACAGGCTATTCGACTAGGCCTTGTCCGCCATTTTTGGGTGTTAAACCGCAGAAACGTTTTTCGTGTCTCCTAATGGTCCATAATAAAATATTTCCCGATTCGGCAAAAACCTACAATCATGGCAAAAACCTACAATCATGGCCAAATGTTGTGGAACGTAAAGTGCGATTTCGTGTTTTTACCCTTAACTTGAATAAAAAAAAACCTTCCCCCCAGTCAATGTTGTTTGGGATTGTTTTCTGCTCGGAATAAGCATCACACAATCTGATTTATTAACGCTAGGATCAACATTGGAAAGGGGGGCCGGGGGAGTTCCTTTTTCGTGAAATCTATGACAATATTATAACTCGCGCGCCTTTACCTTTTAATTAGCTTGCGTTCCACAAACATTTGGCTATGATTGTAGCTATATAATGCGATGTTACGATTTTACAGTGCTGTGCATGTTTTGGTCCTGACAGTAAGCAGGATTACTGCGCACCAAAATGTCAAGCAATCAATGGGGGAACTGTTTTAAGAGAAAAGGACAATATCACAGTTTGGTTTTGGATCCGTTCAAATATACCAAAACGTGTTTGGAAAAAATGCATGGAGTTTAAAGAAAAGAACGATGCTGGAAAAATGGAAACATGGCGTGTCGAGAATGGAATAAGGAGACAGGTATGGTAGAACGAGAACGTTCAGTCAGGAAGAAGTTATTTCGCTGACCTCAAAATGATATTTCGTCAAGAGTAGAATTAGGTTAGTGTTAGGATTATGGTTTGGGTTAAAGTTCGTGTTTGGAATAGAGCTAGTGTTGGTAAAACTGTTGCTTTGCGACGTTTTGTCACTCTGAGGCCAGTATGAAATAACCTGTTCCCGTCACGTCAGTCATGGCGGCCATTGACGTCCAATAGCTCTGAAGGTTGTAAACAGCCTTTTTTCCATTCCGCCCAGCTAATTCCAGTTTTTTCTAACGAACCGTATCGCTAACCAAGTTATCAGTTCATAAACTCATAGTGTTATTCTTTAAATCGATGTCAAAATACGAAATTTTGGCACACTCCTTGCCAAGATTGGTGGAAATTGAAGGAGCTATTGGACGTCAGTTCCAGTCCCTTTTTATTGTTTTTTTTTGTCTGCGCGGTTAACGTTTTGGAGTCGAGTTCCAGATGTATATGGAGTTCATTGGGGTGTGCTAATCGTCCTTACTTGCAGCTGAGAGCTAAGCTGCAAGACGAGGGATGCAGCTCAGCCTGATCGACTCGAAGGCTTTCTAAGGGCGCCTCTGCATGGCAGCCACCTTATGACTCATGTCTGATAACACGGAGCACAAGCTACGGTGGAAGGGTCAGTTTAGGGTCAAGGGTCAGTTTAGGGTTCAGTAAGGGTCAGTTCTACATGTTTTAAAATACAGTTTAAGAATTAAGACAACGTATATATTCAACAGACTGGTGCAAGATCTGAAACAAGATAATATATATATAATTGTTCATATGCATGTATTACTTATTTAGGGTCCATGTTCAGTTCCTGAAGATGTCACAGTTAATGATGGGGTAAGATAAAAACTATGGTCATTAATTAAGTTTTTTAGGTACTATATCAAATTATTTCCCCTGCTTAGCAGAAAATCTGAGCCAAACTGCATATTCTCTGTGCTTAGAATAATTCTTCTTGTGGTATCACAACATCAAACAACATCACTGCACGGTTTTGTTGATTTTTACAGGTTGCAGTAGTCCCTAACAATCAATCAATGAACAAACTTCCAAAGGTGGAAGGTCTTCTTTCCTATCTTTCTGATAAGAAGAAGCTGTATATCAAAGAAAAATCTCAGTGGACAGCATTGGCAAATCAGAAAGAAGTACGTTTTACCTCCAGTTTTGCTGCGGATATTACTTTTCAAAATGTAAATGTAAAATTTCCCTCCCCGCCTCAACTCCCGATATTTTAAAACTGCCAGCTGCGACAGATAGGCATTTACTCGGCGTACTTGATTTTGTGGAATATAATAGCTAAAATACGACGAAGAATACCGAGTCTTTTAACACACTGAAAAGACTGGATGGGCACAATTGTTATCATAGTGTGCAAAGAATTATGCACGCAAAGGGCTCATTAGGAGAAAAATGAATTGCGACAACGCCTGATGAGGAAGGGAGGATCTACAATCCTGGCAAAAATTATGTGGACACCTAACCTTTGTAAGGTTAATATTAACATTGAGACGTTCTTTCATGAAATTTGTCGCCCCCTGCCCCCTATTCAATGTTGTTTCTCGCATTCAAATTTTAAAGTTTCATTTACCAACATTGAATTGGGGGTAGGAGGGGGAGAAATTTTCTGGCGGATTAATTATGTAGAAATAGATCTATTTTTGTTTGACGCACATGTTGTTTCTCGCATTCAAATTTTAAAGTTTCATTTACCAACATTGAATTGGGGGTAGAAGGGGGAGAAATTTTCTGGCGGATTAATTATGTAGAAATAGATCTATTTTTGTTTGACGCACTCGCTGTCCACGATAATTTTTGCCAGGATTGTCTGAAATTATCACATACTTCCAACCGTCCGATTTCATGAATTTAAGGCTCGATCCAATGATAAAATAGGCTTGTTTGTTTAGCAAAAGGAGCAAACAATTAGTAAATCAGGTTATATTTAGTTTTTTTTTCTTTCCGATCTATGTTAAGTGTCACCTATCACATTACATGTCAAGTGGCCTTTTACGTGTTATCGGGATTGATACAATTACAACTTAGTCTGCAGCTCTAAAAAGAAATATATTCGTATAACAAATTATTGAACATTGTGGAGAACGACAATGTCTTATAGTACTTAGTCAGACAGTGCAAAATGTTCAGCCAAAAATGCGAGGTTTGTTTACCTCATAACTTAGAGCTAAACAGATCTATTTTTAGTTCCTGAGCGTGAATCATTTGCATTATTGGTAATACATGCATTTCATAATGCAGATCCTTTGTTAGCCTGCAACATTTTGCAATGAGTTTGCAGCATGGAGCATCATATTCCCGTGTATTCATACAATATAACTGTATAAAACTGTACAAATGTGTAAGTAATGTTATTTGGAAAGTTTAGTAAATTGATGCGGTACACGGCTGTGCAGCGTAACCAAATTCACACTAAATATAACAGACTATAGGGTTATTTTAGTGTATACGCATCCGAAGCGCTCACTATTTTCAGATTTTTTATAACAAACGCAGCCCAACGGAGACTGTAGAGCGCCTTAAATCTAACAGTGACGTCACACGGTACACGGCTGTGTAGCGTAGAGTAAAGAATACATAGCTTAAATATTTTAATCACCACGCTACACAGCCGTGTACCGTGTGACGTCACTGTTAGATTAAAGGCGCTCTACAGTCGCCGTTGGGCTGCGTTTGTTATAAAAAATCTGAAAATAGTGAGCGCTTCGTATGCGTATACACTAAATGAGCTCAATAGTCTGTTATATTTAGTGAGAATTTGGTTGAAAACTCGTCTTACTGCGTCTGCATAATTAGTCCAGCAAAGCGTATATCATGCCCAAAAGCCGCTCACCTACAAAATTATAAATATGCTTTAAAAACAATTAAACCAGTTTAAACAATCTGTTTGTTACCCTAAAGCAATGGCAGCATCAAAAATTTATAGTAAAAGGCCTGCTTTGGGTGAAAATTATCGATATTTTTTTTAGGTTATTTTCAGACAATCCTGGCAAAAATTATGTGGACACCTAACCTTTGTAAGGTTAATATTAACATTGAGACGTTCTTTCATGAAATTTGTCGCCCCCTGCCCCCTATTCAATGTTGTTTCTCGCATTCAAATTTTAAAAGTTTCATTTACCAACATTGAATTGGGGGTAGGAGGGGGAGAAATTTTCTGGCGGATTAATTATGTAGAAATAGATCTATTTTTGTTTGACGCACTCGCTGTCCACGATAATTTTTGCCAGGATTGTCTGAAATTATCACATATTTCCAACCGTCCGATTTCATGAATTTAAGGCTCGATCGAATGATAAAATAGGCTTGTTGGTTTAGCAAAAGGAGCAAACAATTAGTAAATCAGGTTATATTTAGTTTTTTTTCTTTCCGATCTATGTTAAGTGTCACCTATCACATTACATGTCAAGTGGCCTTTTACGTGTTATCGGGATTTATACAATTACAACTTAGTCTGCAACTCTAAAAAGAAATATATTCGTATAACAAAATATTGAACATTGGGGAGAACGACGATGTCTTATAGTACTTAGTCAGACAGTGCAAAATGTTCAGCCAAAAAATGCGAGGTTTGTTTACCTCATAACTTAGAGCTAAACAGATCTATCTTTAGTTCCTGAGCGTGAATCATTTGCATTATTGGTAATACATGCATTTCATAATGCAGATCCTTTGTTAGCCTGCAACATTTTGCAATGAGTTTGCAGCATGGAGCATCATATTCCCGTGTATTCATACAATATAACTGTATAAAACTGTACAAATGTGTGAGTAATGTTATTTGGAAAGTTTAGTAAATTGATGCGGTACACGGCTGTGCAGCGTAACCAAATTCACACTAAATATAACAGACTATACGGTTATTTTAGTGTATAAGCATCCGAAGCGCTCACTATTTTCAGATTTTTTATAACAAACGCAGCCCAACGGAGACTGTAGAGCGCCTTAAATCTAACAGTGACGTCACACGGTACACGGCTGTGTAGCGTAGAGTAAAGAATACATAGCTTAAATATTTTAATCACCACGCTACACAGCCGTGTACCGTGTGACGTCACTGTTAGATTAAAGGCGCTCTACAGTCGCCGTTGGGCTGCGTTTGTTATAAAAAATCTGAAAATAGTGAGCGCTTCGTATGCGTATACACTAAATGAGCTCTATAGTCTGTTATATTTAGTGAGAATTTGGTTCCGCACTTAAAGTACTTTTGTTGAAAACTCGTCTTACTGCGTCTGCATAATTAGTCCAGCAAAGCGTATATCATGCCCAAAAGCCGCTCACCTACAAAATTATAAATATGCTTTAAAAAACAATTAAACCAGTTTAAACAATCTGTTTGTTACCCTAAAGCAATGGCAGCATCAAAAATTTATAGTAAAAGGCCTGCTTTGGGTGAAAATTATCGATATTTTTTTTAGGTTATTTTCAGACAATCCTGGCAAAAATTATGTGGACACCTAACCTTTGTAAGGTTAATATTAACATTGAGACGTTCTTTCATGAAATTTGTCGCCCCCTGCCCCCTATTCAATGTTGTTTCTCGCATTCAAATTTTAAAAGTTTCATTTACCAACATTGAATTGGGGGTAGGAGGGGGAGAAATTTTCTGGCGGATTAATTATGTAGAAATAGATCTATTTTTGTTTGACGCACTCGCTGTCCACGATAATTTTTGCCAGGATTGTCTGAAATTATCACATATTTCCAACCGTCCGATTTCATGAATTTAAGGCTCGATCCAATGATAAAATAGGCTTGTTTGTTTAGCAAAAGGAGCAAACAATTAGTAAATCAGGTTATATTTAGTTTTTTTTTTCTTTCCGATCTATGTTAAGTGTCACCTATCACATTACATGTCAAGTGGCCTTTTACGTGTTATCGGGATTTATACAATTACAACTTAGTCTGCAACTCTAAAAAGAAATATATTCGTATAACAAATTATTGAACATTGTGGAGAACGACGATGTCTTATAGTACTTAGTCAGACAGTGAAAAATGTTCAGCCAAAAAATGCGAGGTTTGTTTACCTCATAAGTTAGAGCTAAACAGATCTATCTTTAGTTCCTGAGCGTGAATCATTTGCATTATTGGTAATACATGCATTTCATAATGCAGATCCTTTGTTAGCCTGCAACATTTTGCAATGAGTTTGCAGCATGGAGCATCATATTCCCGTGTATTCATACAATATAACTGTATAAAACTGTACAAATGTGTAAGTAATGTTATTTGGAAAGTTTAGTAAATTGATACGGTACACGGCTGTGCAGCGTAACCAAATTCAAACTAAATATAACAGACTATAGGGTTATTTTAGTGTATACGCATCCGAAGCGCTCACTATTTTCAGATTTTTTATAACAAACGCAGCCCAACAGCGACTGTAGAGCGCCTTTAATCTAACAGTGACGTCACACGGTACACGGCTGTGTAGCGTAGAGTAAAGAATACATAGCTTAAATATTTTAATCACAACGCTACACAGCCGTGTACCGTGTGACGTCACTGTTAGATTAAAGGCGCTCTACAGTCGCCGTTGGGCTGCGTTTGTTATAAAAAATCTGAAAATAGTGAGCGCTTCGTATGCGTATACACTAAATAGCTCTATAGTCTGTTATATTTAGTGAGAATTTGGTTCCGCACTTAAAGTACTTTTGTTGAAAACTCGTCTTACTGCGTCTGCATAATTAGTCCAGCAAAGCGTATATCATGCCCAAAAGCCGCTCACCTACAAAATTATAAATATGCTTTAAAAAACAATTAAACCAGTTTAAACAATCTGTTTGTTACCCTAAAGCAATGGCAGCATCAAAAATTTATAGTAAAAGGCCTGCTTTTGGGTGAAAATTATCGATATTTTTTTTAGGTTATTTTCAGACAATCCTGGCAAAAATTATGTGGACACCTAACCTTTGTAAGGTTAATATTAACATTGAGACGTTCTTTCATGAAATTTGTCGCCCCCTGCCCCCTATTCAATGTTGTTTCTCGCATTCAAATTTTAAAAGTTTCATTTACCAACATTGAATTGGGGGTAGGAGGGGGAGAAATTTTCTGGCGGATTAATTATGTAGAAATATATCTATTTTTGTTTGACGCACGCGCTGTCCACGATAATTTTTGCCAGGATTGTCTGAAATTATCACATATTTCCAACTGTCTGATTTCATGAATTTAAGGCTCGATCCAATGATAAAATAGGCTTGTTTGTTTAGCA